CATTAAAGCTGAACAATATTATTTTTATTAAGTAATACATTAAGAGTAATTAAAATATCTGAAGTTGATTTGTAATCAATAATGTGTTCAAAGAGATCATGAGAAAAATCTTTTTGACAAAAATTAACTTTTATATTTAATATTCTTCATCTTTTTATGACATTGCTGTAACATTTGGTATTGTTATTGTATTACCACCAACTACATCCTCTTGTTCTTCCCTAATGAGATATTATTTCAAATGAGTATTCTAGATGTTGTAGTTAGATTGATTGAGAAGTTTAATATCAAACCCATCAACATGACTATTATAATCAATAGTTGAAAAATATTATCTTTTTCATCAAAGAAATATTAAAATATAGAAGTGCAACTCTTTATCAAATAATAGTACCAAGGTACTACTAGTCCAAGATTAAACCAATTAGAAAAAGAAGAAACCAAGACAGAAGTAAAAAAATGAAAAACTATATTAAACTTCTCAAAAAAAAAAAAAAAAAAAACAAAAGCCCTAAACACTTGAAATTTGGATGGATTTATACATATAAATGTTAGGTGTAGAATAATAGTTTAAACTAAGAGACTCTTATCTATAAAATTCTATCTATTCAATTTATTTAAAAGATAAAAGATAAAAATATTAAAATCCTTTGAAAGATAATATTTTAAATCTTAACAAATATATTATATGTAATTCTGATTTTTAGTTTTTCTTTTGGTTTTATCTTTTATCTTTTCTTATTATTCCTAAAGAATTTTATAAGTTTCTCTCTGTTTAAAGCACAAGTATAGCTTGCTACATACATATTTTTCATCGATATAACTGATGACATTAGGATAAATATAATTATTTAAAGTTATAAAAATCTTAATATAATTTTTTAAATACTAAGTTAATATGATCAAAGTACAATACCCAATAAGTAAGCAATATGTCATTAGCCATCCCTCACAGCGTAGTCAACGCAGGCTTTGTTAGCTGGTTTCGACGAGTCATTATGGTGGGCGGAAGATGCGCTTTCTTTATTTTCACTTATACGAAGTCAACGCAGACCGACTTTGTCGGCTTCGGACCAAGTCAAGATGACTGTGATCACGTGGACACCCAAGTCTCGGTGAGTCCATTCGAAGGACGCAATTAGAGCCGTCTGTTTTGGATCGGATGCATGTGATCAAGTCAAAAGCTTCCCGCGACTTGACTTCCGGAGTTTTGAGGGAGAGAAGACCCATTGCTCACATCGGACGTGCAGAAGCGGGTACAGCGAGTCACAGATTGGATTTCGATGGCCGTCATCGACAGCTACGTTTCGGAGTAGGAGGCACGTCGACCAGCCTCGAACACTAAGTCAACTTTGGAGTCATGGAGAGAGTAGAATGAGCTTATTAAGGGAAGATTAGGACAAATGACTGCCTGTAGTCGTCGCGGCTCTCCCACGCTACCCGGTCCCACCACCCGGAGTACTAGTACCCTACGGAGCCCAAAACCCCGACGGTCAACAAAGGCATGTCACAGCAAAGGCCGAACCCTTCCTCTCAGAATCGCTATAACGACGACACCAGTATATAAACACCCATCCCACGGCCAAAGTCTTCACCGCCAACCCATCGACCCATCTGCATTCATCAAATTCTCTCCCCCGAGAAGAAGGAAGAAGGAGATCGAGCTCCGGCTTCCGAAGGAGGAGCTGCCAGGTGAGGTATCCGGCGGCCAGAAGAATGGATAGTAGCTACAGATTGGGAAGCGTCCGGGGAAGCACCCGCGAAAGCTTCGGAGGGAGCATGCGAGGAAGCATTCGACGGACGGTTTCGTCGTGGCGGGCTTCTTCCACCGACGTCTTCGGTAGATCCGGTCGAGAAGAAGACGATGAGGAGGCGTTGAAGTGGGCTGCCCTCGAGAAACTGCCCACCTACGACCGCATGAGGAAAGGGATGATGACGACGGGAGAAGCCGGGGGCAGACAGGAAGTGGACATTCAAGACCTGGGCATTCAGGACAGGAAGAAATTGTTGGAAAGGTTGGTGAGGACCGCCGAGGAGGACAACGAGAGGTTTCTTCTGAAACTAAGGAATCGAATGGAACGGTGTGCTTCCGTCTGCTTCGGTTTTACTCTACCCCTCCTCCACTATCATCAGCCTTCTGGGTGGTGCTAAGCTCGACACAACTCATCTCCTGCAGGGTCGGAATCGACAACCCAACCATCGAGGTCAGGTTCGAGCACCTGAACGTCGATGCAGAAGCTTATGTCGGGAATCGTGGAGTTCCCACCTTTGTCAATTTCTTCTACAACAAGATCATGGTAATTCACGCTCAACATTCGATTCCCAACTCTCGAAGGGGGGGGCAAAACCTTGACTAAGCCGTGTTCTCTATTGTTGATGTGATCCAGGGTGTGCTGAGCTACCTTCACATCCTTCCGAGCGGAAAGCAACCCCTATCCATCCTTCATGACATTAGTGGGATCATTAGACCATGCAGGTAGGGTCAAAAAGAAAGGCTTATGGTTTTCCTACAGCTTGACAGAAGTCTGATTTGCTTCCCCACAATGCAGAATGACACTGCTTCTAGGGCCCCCAGGCTCTGGGAAAACCACCTTACTGCTAGCCCTAGCAGGAAAGCTCGACTCAACCCTCAGGGTAACATAGCAAAACCATGTTTTCTGTCTGATGCTTTATGGTTTGATTTCCTCATAAAAGTGAAGCAAAATTGCAAATGGATATGGTGACATGGACGAGTATTAAATAGAAAAGCATCTATCTATCGATGTCAGGTATCCGGAAGAGTGACTTACAATGGTCATGACATGGATGAGTTCGTCCCTCAGAGGACCTCGGCTTATATCGGGCAGCATGATCTTCACATCGGGGAAATGACAGTGAGAGAGACTTTGGCTTTCTCTGCAAGATGCCAAGGAGTCGGAACACGTTATGGTAGGTCGAGAAGGAATTATTTCACAAATAAATTTTAGCTAAAATAAATCTAAAGCTCAGAGAATTCACAAATTAAGCGATGCGATGCAGATATGCTGAAGGAGCTATCGAGAAGAGAAAAGGAAGCAAATATCAAGCCAGACCCTGACATAGATGTCTACATGAAGGTAACGAACCTGCTCTAACTTTTTTGCATTATGACTATGGGAAGATAATCCTGAAATGGTGACAGAAAAAAGAAAAATTAAAAATCTACATCTGTTTAGAAATTAGATCAACCTCGTTTCATTTGCCAGAGCTTTTTTGAAACATAATTTGCAACATCAAATCTTTTCTAACAAGAAGAACTGTTTTATACTAATAGTTAAAACCTTTTCTCCCTTATGGTACACCTACAGGCAATATCTGTTGAAGGCCAGGAAAGTGTGGTTACAGATTACATTCTGAAGGTAAGTTCAGCCATGAAAAACAAGAGAAAATAAGATAAAATTGTTGCAAAGTGCAAATAAAAAAAATTACCATCAAGACAAATGACAATTGTTAATTTCTTCTTTTGCAGATCTTGGGTCTGGAAATATGTGCTGATACAATGGTAGGAGACGCAATGATAAGGGGGATATCTGGTGGACAGAAGAAGCGCGTTACGACAGGTAATTATAATTAAAAGAATTAAACATGACTAAGAGAAGGCACGTCAATATACCTGTTGAAAGCATCCCATGGTTCTATGCAGGTGAGATGCTTGTTGGGCCAGCTAAGGCACTTTTCATGGATGAAATCTCTACGGGACTTGACAGCTCCACAACCTACCAGATTGTCAATTCCCTTCGTCAATCAGTCCATATCCTCGGTGGAACTGCACTCATTGCATTGCTTCAGCCAGCTCCAGAGACATATGAGCTGTTCGATGACATTGTTCTACTCTCAGATGGGCAAATTGTCTATCAGGGTCCACGAGAGAATGTTCTACAATTCTTCGAAGCAATGGGTTTCAAGTGTCCTGAAAGGAAAGGTGCTGCGGACTTCTTGCAAGAAGTAAGTGTCAAAGATGAATGAAACATCTTTTGCGATTGCACATGAAAATCCTTTTCCTGTCTCTTGCATGGATTCTTTCGTTTGTGAATGCTTCCATAACTCGATACTGTCATCTCTATGCATGAATAGGTTACATCAAGGAAGGATCAGCACCAATATTGGGCAAACAAAGATGAGCCATATAGGTATATTTCAGTCAATGAGTTTGCAGAAGCCTTCCAGTCGTTCCATACTGGCTGTAAACTAGGAGAAGAGCTCAGCATTCCATTTGATAGGAGACGGAATCATCCTGCTGCATTGACCACCACAACATACGGGATTAGCAAGATGGAATTGTTGAAAACTTGCATTTCAAGGGAGTGGTTGCTGATGAAGCGGAATTCCTTTGTTTACATCTTCAAAGTTGTCCAAGTGAGTAAACCGCAGCTCTCTTGACACGACAATTCTAATATGATGATGCCTTACATGATCCTTTTTGGCACATTATCAGCTTATAATTCTTGGGGCCATTGCAATGACGGTCTTCCTTCGCACAAAGATGCATCGGAATTCGGTGGAGGATGGAGTGATCTTCCTAGGTGCCATGTTTCTCGGGCTAGTAACTCATCTGTTCAATGGGTTTGCTGAGCTTGCTATGAGTATCGCAAAGCTTCCCATATTTTACAAGCAAAGAGACCTTCGCTTCTATCCATCATGGGCATACGCACTGCCAACATGGATTCTGAAAATTCCCATATCCTTTCTGGAGTGTGCGGTCTGGATAGGCATGACATATTATGTCATTGGTTTCGATCCAAACATTGAAAGGTTAGAGGGCTTGAAACAAATCTGCACATTTTCTCCAGGAATTTCTTTGCTGCATCTCCACATATCATCGGAAAAGTAACCACAGACGTTATCATCGTGCAGGTTTTTTCGGCATTACCTGCTGCTAGTCTTGATCAGTCAGATGGCATCTGGACTCTTCCGGCTCCTTGCTGCTGTTGGGAGGGAGATGGTTGTCGCAGATACTTTTGGTTCCTTTGCACAGCTCGTTCTTTTGATTCTCGGTGGATTCCTAATTTCTCGAGGTATATAACTTCCCATACCAAAGCCAGACAGCCTCATCAGCACAATGACAATACCTCGGTTCCGATCTGACAATAAAATTATTAATTCCAATTTGACAATACAATATCTCAGTCTCAATTTGACAACAATATTACTAAATTATTTCTCACCTTCCTTACAGAGAATATCAAGAAATGGTGGATCTGGGGCTACTGGTCATCTCCTCTGATGTATGCTCAAAATGCCATCGCAGTGAATGAATTCCTAGGGCATAGCTGGCAAAAAGTAATCTTACAACTCTTTTATTCTTGTTGTGCATGATAAAAACAGTGTTATTTATGAATTAAACAACAATTTTCATCACTCGTCTAGGTAATTCCTTCAAATCAAAATTTCTATTTGGCACAGGTTATTCCAACAGGAAGCAATGATACTCTAGGAGTCCAAATCCTCAAAAAACGTGGAATATTTGTTGACTCAAACTGGTACTGGATTGGTGTGGGTGCATTGCTTGGCTACATCTTCATGTTCAACATCCTCTTTGTTTTCTTTCTTGACTGGCTTGACCGTGAGTATTAATAAGCTAAAACAGATTCAACTTGCTTCAACTCAAAACAATTTTTATCATACTTATTCCTAACTTGATGTCTCCAGCATTAGGGAAAGGTCAGGCAGTCATCTCTGAAGAGGCACTAAGAGAGAAACAAGCAAACAGGACAGGTGAAGGTGTTGAACCGTCGCTCGCAGGAACTAACTCTCCGAAGCATGGAACCACCAAAGGTCAGTCACAAGCTATTGATTGAATGGCTCATCAAGCAAGAATGGCAATTAATGTTCTAAAATCAATCTCTCAATGCAGGAAGAGAGGGTGGAAGGGCCAGACAAAATGAAATTTCCACACAGAACAAAAGGAAGGGAATGATGCTTCCTTTTGCTCCTCTTTCGATCACCTTTGACAATGTCAGATACTCTGTTGACATGCCACAGGTTGATTTTCTTCCAATTATGCAAATCCTGTAAACATATTCATGCAAACGCAACCGGACCTAAATATTTATCCTCACAGGAAATGAAAGATAAGGGCATCGAAGATGATCGTTTAGTGCTACTGAAGGGTGTTAGTGGAGCATTTAGGCCAGGAGTTCTTACAGCACTGATGGGTGTAAGCGGAGCAGGAAAAACAACTCTCATGGATGTGCTGGCTGGCAGAAAAACTGGTGGATACATTGATGGAAACATATGCATATCTGGCTACCCCAAGAAACAAGAAACATTTGCTCGAATTTCAGGCTACTGTGAACAGAATGACATTCACTCTCCGCATGTTACAGTCTATGAATCTCTTCTCTACTCTGCCTGGCTTCGGTTGCCTCCTGAAGTAGACTCCGAAACAAGAAAGGTTGGTGCCTCTGTCTTACAATAATCCATTTGTCTGCTTCTGTTCCTCACTGAATTCTCGGATGGTAAAAAAAAAAAAATTCTGGTACAGATGTTCATCGAGGAGGTCATGGAATTGGTAGAGCTGACTTCACTGAGGGGCGCACTGGTTGGACTGCCTGGAGTTAATGGCCTATCGACTGAACAACGCAAGAGGCTTACAATTGCCGTTGAGCTTGTTGCCAACCCTTCTATCATATTTATGGATGAGCCAACTTCTGGGCTAGATGCAAGGGCAGCAGCCATTGTGATGAGAACAGTGAGGAATACTGTGGATACAGGAAGGACGGTCGTGTGCACCATTCACCAGCCTAGCATTGATATTTTTGAAGCTTTTGATGAGGTGCGATATAACTGAAATCAACTGCATTTCAGTCAAAGTTCTCCATATGTTTGTGTGTGAAAGTTGACATCTCTTTTTCATAAAATTGCAGCTCTTCTTGATGAAAAGAGGAGGAGAAGAGATATATGTTGGACCCTTAGGACGTAACTCATGTCATCTAATCAAGTACTTTGAGGTGAGACCTGCTTAATCTAACCATATTGAACAAAGCAGCTGCTTTCTTTATGATCTTCTGCATCATTAACACTCATGGCGATGTTGTTTTATCTTATCTAGGGAATCGAGGGAGTAAGAAAAATAAGAGATGGTTATAATCCTGCAACATGGATGTTGGAGGTCACCACCCTGGCACAGGAGGAAATTTTAGGTGTTGATTTTGCTGAAATATACAGAAACTCTGACTTGTACAGGTAGACCTAACCTACATACCTAAACTGAAGCAAAAAGTAATTAGTATTTAGCACTGTCATGCTGTGGTACTTGTAGTGCTTACTCCCTTGTCCAACTTGCTGCAGGAGAAACAAAACTTTGATCAGTGAACTTAGTGCACCACCTCCTGGTTCAAAAGACCTATTCTTCCCGACCAAGTACTCGCAATCTTTCCTCACACAGTGCATGGCTTGCTTGTGGAAGCAGCACAAGTCATACTGGCGAAATCCATCTTATACTGCCACGAGAATTTTCTTTACCACCGTCATTGCATTCATATTTGGAACAATCTTTTGGAGACTCGGAAAAAAAGTGTAAGTCATCAGCACAAGTTTAGGTGTAGAATCCTACATAGATTTATATTTATGTTGTTGGATTTAACAATACAAGAGCCCTTCTTGATGGCTAAAAATTGTGCAGGACAACAAGCCAGGACCTATTCAACTCCTTGGGCTCCATGTATGCTGCAGTTCTCTTCATTGGAATACAGAATGGCCAAACCGTGCAACCAATTGTTGATGTAGAGCGAACTGTCTTCTACAGAGAAAAGGCTGCTGGAATGTATTCTGCTCTTCCTTATGCATTTTCACAGGTATGGTTCTGCTTAAATGAACTCCAACATGCCTTCCTAGGTTCACTTTTAACCTTAATCCAATCCATGCAGGTTCTGATTGAGATTCCACACATCTTCCTACAGACTGTAATCTATGGACTCATAGTCTACAGCCTGATTGGTTTCGACTGGACAGTAGAAAAGTTCTTTTGGTATCTTTTCTTCATGTTCTTCACTTTCATGTACTTCACATACTATGGGATGATGGCAGTTGCCATGACACCAAACAGTGACATTGCGGCCATAGTCTCAACAGCATTCTATGCAATCTGGAACATATTTGCTGGTTTTCTAGTTCCTCGACCCGTAAGTTATACTGAACTCTATGCTATCAAAATCGGTTGGCTAAATGTCCTCTCAAGAACTGAGGTGCTAAAACTGCCGTTTGCTTGTTACAGAAAATTCCTGTGTGGTGGAGATGGTATTCTTGGGCTTGCCCGGTGGCGTGGACATTGTACGGACTGGTTGCTTCTCAGTTTGGTGACTACACATATAAGATGGACAACGATGAGACCGTGCAGGACTTCATCAGGAGATTCTTTGGGTTCCGGCATGACTTCTTGGGTGTTGTAGCTGTTGCAGTGGTCGGGTTCACTGTGTTATTTGCTTTTGTCTTTGCCTTTTCAATCAGGGTGTTCAACTTCCAAAGAAGATGAGAAGGATACAAAGCAATTTTTTGATCCCAAGGATGCTAAAAAATGTCTATATTATGAGATCGATATTAAATAATTTGTATGCACGTCTTCTGTATAGTAGTGCACAGGGCCATTATTCTTTCTATATGTTCCCTTTCTTTGTCCATTAGATATCTTGTGCTAGGCTACTTGGTCTGTGAAGGAGCAGCTAAGTCCTAATCTTGTAACTTTTCTTATCAACAAAATTTCAGATTCTGTTGTTTCCTACTAATCGGAGTCGATAACATGTCTTCATTGTCTCAAGGAAATATGATCAATTTAGAACATGCCTTAAGAACCTAAATCCTAGAGCAAAATTGCTAACTTGTATACAAACTGAAAGAAAGATTAAATGGAAAAGAAAAAGGGAAGTTGTATAGAAAACGATAATTACTAATGAGATGATAGTTTTACTACCAACTCCTTAAGGTGGACTCACAATCATAAATCTCTGAAGCAATAAGTGAAGCCAATGGCTAACAATATAACTCTATAAAAATGCCAGGATGAGCTTCACGGACCTACAAAATTATATCTGCCATGAATTAACAGAATGACCAATTTGTACTAGGTTAGTCCACACAAAGGTTGATTAACCCAAATACTACAAATGTGTAACACAGTCACATGTATTACTATTCTAAGGTACTTGTTGTGTCGATGCCCACGCAGTCAAAGCTTGGATTTTGAGCATGACAATAGCAACAACAACAACAACAACAACAACAACAACAAAGAGGTAAACCTTCGAAGCGTGGGGAAGAAAGAAAAGGCAAAGTCAATATTCGGCATACACTGAAAGGAAAGAACAGAAGACTCACTCGAGAGTTGAGGCGAAGAAGCAGTAGCCTGCGGCCAGAGATGTGACATCGGAGCAGAATGGATGGATCGAAAGCACTAGGCGTGATAGTTGCAGTGGGAGTAGTTCCAGTTCGCTCCGGCAGCCAGCACCCTTCTCGACGCCGTAAGCGCCCAGACCTCAGCGCTGTCGCTGGCGTCTTTGATATGCTGGTAATGGGCCGATATTAAACGCAGTTATTGGTCGGCTCGGCTCGGCTCAGGCCCCAAATGATAACCATCCGATGACCATGCGGCTCGACGACGCCCTCAGTGAGACTTTCTTCCTTGCTACGGATATTGAGCCTCTCCGCAACATAGGTAGGAAGTGGAGGAGGACCTTTGGAGGAGGAGGAGGCCACGACGCTCGAGAATTCACGAACGGTGATAAAAAGGATGAGCTGGGAGAAGATATTGCTTGGGAGGGCGCGGCGCTATGATGAGGCTGTGGTATCCGATCGCGGGACGGCGTACGAGCGTCCGGGAGGCAATATCACGAGAATGGTGGTGCCAACGTTGACGATGCCATGGGGCGTCGGATGTCGACAATGTTGAGAGCCTGAGAGATGGTTGTAGCACAAAGGAAAGGGAGCTTTTGGACGAGGGAGAAGAAGGCACGGGGCATCGACTAGGTTCTTTGGATTTCAACCTCACAGACTAAGATGTTTGGAATGAAGCCTGAGTTATACCTCTAGTGAGCCCATCAGAGCGGCACGCGAGTCCGTTAATCGGCCTCTCTTAGACAGTTTTACTGCGAGATCCATCATCTCATCCGACGCCACTACAAGGCTGAGCCCAGCATGATGCGATGAGGTCCCTCTGATCCGAAGCCGAGCAGTTTTACTTAATCGAGTTGGCTCTGGTTCGTGCCAAATTGGGCAGGCGGGTTTGGGTTGAATCCCTCGCGAGTCGTCGTCGTAACGGAATCCCTCGCCCATGGCGGTATCATTTCAGGCCAATGCTTACGGCTAGCGTTACTCGGTGGCAGTCCAGGATAGGGCCGGTCCGTTTCTCTCCGCGAGGGCTTGCATTTCTCCTAAATCGTCGCATTTTCAGTAAGTTTCTTGGCCGTCTCTGCCTCCCTCATCTTCTCTGCTGCTGCTGCCTGTTATTTTCGTCGATTGTAGCCATCTTTCTTTAGCAAATTTCACTTAGACCACAGAATCGAACGATGCAAGTTGGTCATTACCAATCGATCGGTGCTTGTATATCCTTTAGAATACCGATCGAGCGGTTCGTCAGATGAATCTGGCTTTCAATTCTTATTTTATACTCCAGTTTAGGGTTTCTGATGAACAGATTCCAAAATTTGAAGTTATTGTCTCAACATCTTGCAATAGGCAAATCCAGTAATGGCCACAGAAGATATGATACCCGTTCCTCCATTTATCAGAGACTTCGGTCTTTTGTATATATCATGATCATCCAGTGTTTCGATTTATTCAAATGAACGCCCTGCGAAGCCTATATGGTTTCTTCGCCGCACTTAGACTTCGATTCAGGTGCCTTGCTTTGCATGCGTCGGTTGTGAGCTAGATTTGACTCTTGAAGATCTGGTGCGTTCAAAGCAACGAAAACTGTCCACTTCCAATCATGTAATAAATAGCAACGTATAATTGTTCTAACAAAATTGTTAAATCTCTATGTATCATTGGGTGATGTAATGGCGTGATTTTGAATGAAGCCTCTGGCTTTTGGTGACAGTTGCCTTCTTGCACTGACCACTCCACCATGCCTATTTTGAGTTGGTTCTTGTAGGTTATAGTTATAGAGATGGCATCCCTATAATTGGTTAAACTTCTTGAAAGCATGAATTTCAACTAGATTAGACAGGATGAACAAAGATGCATAGTAAGGATACATAATATGGAAACTGGTTGTAGCTAGCCCATTCTTGATGACGTATCGTCGTAACATTTGACCAGTAAACCATTCTTGATGTCATCAGAAGTTCAAGCAAGATTATTGAAGTGCTTCTAGACATTGACAATGGTGTTGTCTTTTTTCTTGTCTGTTATTTATTTTAAGTTTCATAAGCTTTTAGTTACATTTAAGAAGTTTACACTCTGTTCAGTCATTTATAATTTAGTCAATTTTCATTTATTATTTTCCTGCTGTACCTTTTTTCCCTCTTAGGTTTCTGGAATTGGATAAACAGTGACAAAGCATACTATCCAGCAGTATATGGACAAATTGGTTGTTGAGTCACCATCCGAATTAGCTGATAAGCTTCTTCCTCTAAATCTCGAGGAAGAAAATCAGTTGCAAAAGAAGGTGCTCATCTAAGATATTTGTATTTTTCTTCCTAGAATACATTAGTGTTTGATTTTTTTATTGAACTAAATATTATATTATATAAGTGTCTGTTTTCATTTACAGATGTATGAATGCTGCAATTTTGATTACTTTGGTGTTTTATAATCATCACTCGAGCATTTTAACTTTTGTCATCTTGCAATTTTATGACATCATACTGTTTCTGGTGGTGGTACCAGAAAAATCATCTACTTCTTGCCTATAGTTATCAGAAAACCAAGGGTGTATTTATGATGGCTAGTTAAGTAATACAGCAATGCTGAGATGAGTTAAAGTTGATTTATTAAAATGTTCCACCATAGGGATTAAAAGCAAAACTATATATTTTTTCTGAAGTTAAGGGGCTTATATTAATGGCATGCAAATTGTTCAATAAGGTATTACCAAGTGCAAATAGACCTAGTCATAAACTAAATATCCTGTTTTTCTTTTACGTTTCTATATTTGAGGATCGAAGAAAGTAGTGCGTGGACCTCGGTAAAATGATAAGGTTTCTTCTTAATAACATGAGAGATTAAGGTTCGTGTTTCAAAAACAGTTCTTTAAATATAGAGATAAGGCTGCATACATTGACCCCTCTCTAAACCCTGCACTGGCGGGAGTCTCATGCACTAGATTCACCCTTTTGTCAAAGAAAAACATTTATCTGGACTGCATCTTTGCAACTATTGCAAAGCCAGAAACATTACACGTGGAGATCAATCTCCAACCTATTTAATGAAAAACAATTCCTCCATAAGAAATTGTAGCCTTATAGATCAAAGTGGTACGTCTGAAGTTTCAAACAATTCCTTGATAAGAAATCTTAGCCCTTTCTTCATAGATCAGGGTGGTCTGAAGTTTCAAACTGAGTCGTTTTGACTATAAGTATCAAGAACAAAAGAGGGCACAGTGTATCTTAGATAAGAACCAGATGATGAATTCTAAAGGTTCTTTTTTCATACTACATTAGGTCCTTTGTTTAGAATAGTTTTGAGTCCAATCACACAGAAGATGATGCGCTAGCATCAGCTGTTGTAGGCAGTTGTTATTTGTTTGTTGATTCATCTGTTATTTCATTTATCTCAGGTCCATTCACATGGAATATGATGCACTAGCACCCAGCTGTCGGAGGCAGTTTATGTTTATTGGTTGACTCATGTTTTTCTTTTATCTCAGGGTTGTAAAGAAAGACAAGCTAGTTCCTATATGAATTTCAAATACAACATTGGCAAGTTGTAGTTTTGTACCATTTTGGATTAGTTACATGGTAACTTTGCAGGCCTGGACTTTATTGCGGACAATATCAGTGTTCATCTTAAGGAACATCAAAGTACTTTTAATTTTCCTGGCAGCATCCTTTTAACTTGTCCTTTATCTTTCCTCCGACTAGTAGTCTAAATTAAATTAACATATCTGACCACTGCATTTATACGTTGCTTTTAGAGGTATCTGAATCATGGTTCACCTTATCGGTCCGTACTGATATACCGATCT